CTACTTCGACAACATAGCGCCAGGCAAGAGTCTGGCGGTGAGATTTAGAAAATGACACGCTCTTGGAAAATAAGTGAAGCGCCTCAGCTTCGTCGGGAAAATGTGAGGCGATGAGGCAGTGTCGTGTGGTCACATGCATCGTCAGGCGGTACTCGATTTTCCAGTCTGCTTCAACGGGCGAGCAGCATGCGAGCAGACTGGGGTTGAATTATTTTAAACACTTTGAAAATCCATAACTCAATCTGTAAATGTCCAATTGATGTGTGGTCCAGATTGTTGGAAAGTTGGTTCAACATACTTTCTCTTAAAAATATTTTTTTAGTACCAGAATTCCAACTATTTAACGCGCAGACGGTTGTTTCGTACAGTCGAGTTATGTCATTATATAAAATGCATGCAAATGTTTTGGGTAATTGATAACTGGTGATGTTCTATGCTTAATGATAGTAATGATGTTGTTGTGCAATTAATTAAATGACTTTGATGTTGATGTGATGTGATGAATGTTACTTGTAGTGACGTTTGATGACGTGTATGGTAACTTTATATATACATGCTATGATTATGTGATGATGATGATGATTATTATGTGATGATGATTGTGTGAAGAATGTTATTATGATGTATGTGATGATACTGTGATGATTTCACGAATGATGATGTGTTTTAACTAGCTGCGGTCATGTGTTATTATGTTGTTGTGCATCATGCATTCATGGTATATGTTAGGATATTGGTCCAGTGATATTGTTAAGACAATTGGTCTAGTGATGTTAATAGGGAATTGGTCCAGTGACGTCCTCAATTCTATAGTATGGGTTGAGTATAATATTGTGAAGTGTTCCAGTTCCAAGAATAATTGATCCTATAGTGGGTATCTTTGGAGGAAGATGACTTGGTCATCAATGAAATTTGGTATCACATGCATGAGTTAATATTGTTGCATTAACATTCTATGTGACATTGCATAAAATTGTTGATAAATTGTGAATGTTGAATAATTGTGAACTATGTGATTATGTGATGTCTTAGACGATGAAAGATGTATAAATGATGCTTTGATAATGATTGTTGATTAAGTGATTTGATGATAATTGTCAATTAAGTGATTTGACGATGTTGTGAATTAAATGGTGTTTCAGTAATATATGACGAAGATGTGTATCTGTTATTGTGATATAAATGTGTGAGTATAATACTTCGTAAATGATGGTGTGTGGATTTCATGATAATGTTGTTTGTATCTACTATATTATTTCCTTATATCTTTTGTAATGAATTGCGATTACTCACCCTTTTTGTTTGAATGTTACCTCCACATGGGTAACACGCAGATTCTCAGGAGTAGCTCGTAGAAGCATTAAAGATATCTTTGGAGTTATTTATTTAATTTTATATTGAATAAAAAGGGTCTTGCTATGATATGTAACATTTGGGTTTGGGGAACGTTTGAATTGAACCTTGTGTTCCTTTTATTGAAATGATGTATAAGTTGTTTTTAACTGTTTAAGTTGTTATGAATCATGACTTATGGATGATAGAGTATGACGATATTTTCTTTGAGAAATTATAATGAAACTATGTTTAGACAATGAATCTACTGCGAAGTTTGTAGCTATGTGTTGATGTTATTGAATAATTAATTATTTTAAGTTTGAAAACTCGTGTTACGGAGCAAGATATTTGTTTTAAGATGTTTTATGAAGCATGTGACACCCTTGTTGGTGCCTTACTATGATTTAATTATTAAATTATTCGTGAATAATCGTTGGGGTTTAGAAGGGTGTTACATTAGTGGTATCAAGGTCAGGTCGACCCGTCCGACCAGATTGTTTAATGATGTTTGTTCCTTAGTACACAACATGTGTGTGAAACACTGTTGGTACTTTCTTGTTTTTCTAAATGTTTGTCTGCAGGCGTCAGTTTGAAACAAGTGGGGGAAAAACTTTTACTTCTCTGAGATGTTTCAGGTATGAGAGTTGGTGCAGTATACCGCTGAATTGCGAGAGTGCAAGGATTGCTGGAGCTATGTTGTTTCTCAAAATTGAAAGGAGCGTAGAATTCGTGATTTTTGTCTATAGGTCAAGTTGGGATGTCTTTGAGGGAGAACGATCAGGTATTGTTGATGTTTGCATCTCGGGGAATATAGAGCAATGTGATGGCTAGTAATATACCATTGTTGCATGATTCCTGATGTTTTTCCTAAAGATATTTGCGACTTGCCTCCAGAGTATGGATCTGAGTTTGGTGACAGTAGAGAACTAATGTTTTTATCTGCTAAGCAAGTAGGATAATTATTGGGATATGAGTCTCAGATGTTTGCATGTATGTGACAACAGTCGAATGAGGTCGTGTGTGGATTACCGACAGTTGATCAAGGTAATGATTGAAATTAAATATCCACTTCAAGGGATTAACGAATTAATGGACCAACTGGTAGGCGAGTATGTCTTCAGTATAATCAAATTGAGGTCAGATTACCTTCAGATTCGTGTGAAGGATGAGGATAGTTAGAGGGCAACTTTTAGAACTTGGTGTAGACATTATGAATATTTAGATCAATTTGTTGCGGTGTTTATTGAAGACATTCTGATTTAATCTAAGTCAGAATAAGGGCATGTTGAATGTTGTGATTTGAATTACAGTGTCGAAAGGGAAGAAACTTTATGCTAAGTTGTCAAGGTGTAGATCATTGTTTGAGGATGTGAGTTTTCTTGAGCATGCTATTTCAGGTGATGGTATCTGTGGATCCATCCAAAGCAGATGCAGTTCTACATTGAGAGACTCCAAAGTCGGTTAGGGAGACTAGAAACTTCTTTACTTAACTGGTTATTATCGCAACTTGTTTGAAACGAGACCAAGTATGATATGTTGTTAATGAATGAATTGAGGGAATAAGATGTTTGATATTAGGCAAGATGTGAAGATATTAGAGAAGCGCATGGAGATGCAACTTATATCGAGTAAGAATGATTAGAGTGACAATAGCTTTTGAGAAAAAGAGAGGTAATGGTAAAGGAAATTGTGGAAACAATTGTAAACCTTAAAGGAGATTAATTGGACCATGATGCTTTAGGTAACTTTGAGCATAAGTTTTAAAGAAATTCTATTATAGTTTAGTAACGATGGTTTATGTACCATCATGGCTGTCAGCTACCTATTGACAAATTGAGAAACTGATCATCATTAATCTCTTGTTGATAGTAGACGGGATCGTGTCGGATGGGATAAACTTGTCTTGCCAGCTTGATGGTGTGTAAAGTGTTTTACATTCTATCGAGAGGATAGTCGTTCACCATTTCGGGTGAATCTAATGGGAAAATGACTAAGAAAGAGTTGGGATTTATTGAACGGTTCAAAGACTTGAGGTTGTATGCGAGCTAACGCCGCATAATGGAAGGTTGAAGTTATCAAAAGTGAACAATAATTTTCTGGTGGATATTAAAGAGAGTCGGGAGTTACATGTGAAACTTATGGATCTGATAGTTGATGAAAATCAAAGTGAGAACAACGACTTTAAGGTAGATGATCAGAGTGGCGCAGTTGAAGCGTGATGTGGTGTAGTTCGTTATGCATGTGTGACTTGTTAGGAGTAAAGGGTTAAGCTTCAGAAGCCTACGGGAATGATGCAAACCATTGAGAAATCTAGAATAGAAGTGATAAATGAAAAGTTTATATATTATTCGAGTCACTACCATGTCAATAGATGTATCGAGTTACATGTTAAATTGATAAATTGTAGCAAGGTTGTACTAATGTTGTGTGTCAATATTATCGGCATTATGGTTATGTTGATGTTCTTATGACAGTATGCATGTGTGATGAAATGATAGAGACAACGTTTGTGTCGTGGAACTCTACGTTCTTAAACTATGTTGTTGCCTCATTGCAAGGGTTCGAGTTCGAGTAGCTCATGTTCAAGAGTGAACCAGATCCAAGGATAATGGGACAAGGAGTGAAATGAACATGTGCGTTCATAACTCGGTAGCATTGCATCTTGTTGGATTATTATGGTTAACAATGTGGAATGTTGATTGGTGGTATTCAAAATGTTGTCAAACATGGCGTGGGAGTTGGAGAGAAGGATGAGAGAGTCATATCCGACTCTGTTTTTCTCAGGTAATTTTCGAGGATGAAAATTCTTTAAGTGGAAGAGATTTATAACACCCCAAATTTCATAATTAATTATTTAATTAATTAATTGCGAGTATTTGTGATTTATTGGTGAATATGTGATGTATTGTTGAATATGATGCGTTGTATACGTATACGTTGTGTTGTGGGATAGTAATAGATGAAAGAGATAATGAGAGTTATTTATATTTTAGATAATCAGTTTTAATTATTTAGAATTATTTTTAATAATTAAATAGATAATATTTGGTGTAGAGATGTTGAGGGCGTAATGGTAATGTTGTGTGGAGTAAGTGAGGGCAAGAATGAAATAACATAATAGGAGTCCAAGGGGTAAGAATGATAAAAGGGAAGATTTGGAATTTTGTGCGTTCATTCTATACAATCGTGACTTTTGGAAAAAAGTGAGAAGCAGCTAGAGTATAGAGAGAAGAGAAGATGAATTTATTTTGTAGAGCTTAAAAGAGATCAATTGATTGCTAATAACTAAGGTAAGGGGTTTAATCACATTTATTATAATTAATATTGTGTTAAGGTGTTGGTAGGTTTATGTTCTATGTGATGTTTTTGATAAGGAATGATAAAATTGATTAAAATTATGTGTTGAATGAATGAATGAATCTTTGATGATTGAATGATGTTAGGACTTAAATAAGTGTTATAGACTATTATAAATGTTATGTAATCGCAGAATTTTGAATTCTGAAATCGAGACTTTTTACATAATCAAAACATATTCATGCTGTTAACTTGGATAAAATCACGAGGCCAAAGAACATTGGAGGACTAGAATTGAGGAATCTTGTATCAAATAGAGCTACTTTCATGAAGTTTGGTTGGAAACTTATTAGTGGTGGCAACAGTCTATGGAGCCAGGTGCTCAAGGGAAAACATGGTCGAGGATAGCGATTCTAGCTTGTGGAAGAAACATTGGAAAGGATTGGAGTTGCATGAAGTCCTTTATAAACTGGGATATTGGAAATGGTAAGATGAGAAATGTGTGGACTGATGACTGGTTACTTTCTGGAATCATTATGGATGATGAAAGAATTTTTGACTTGAGCATAGCAGAGCTGGTGCCTGATAATGGTGATTGGAATTGTGACTGGCTCCAAAGTTTTCTCCCTCAAGACACTGTTGAGGAAATCCTAGCTATTCCTCATAAGATAGTGGCATGGATATCTGTCAGTAGAAAGGATCTAAACAAGGAGAATTTTCTGTTAAGGATGTGTATCAGGTGTTGAGCCCTCATAACAGTAATACTGTCCATGACACAGTTTGGAATAAGATTTGGCAGCTGAAGACTCCTGAAAAAACTAGGGCATTTATGTGGCAGGTGAAACAGAACAGTCTCATCACCAACTTGCGCCTGAACAAAATGAACATTGGTGATCCTCACTGTCGCGACGATTGCACAGAGGAAATCGAAATTGTTTTACATGTGTTGAGGGACTGCAGTAATGCGAAAGCTGTTTGGCTCTCGCTTGTTTGAGAGGAATTGTGGTATGATTTCTTTTATGCAGGTTTGGAAGACTGGATGAGGACGAATCTTCAAGATAATCTTGGCCATGGCAGTGCAGAGGATCGAAATGTGCTTTAGGCCACAACTTGCCACTCTCTTTGGTTTTGTCGTAACAAGAGGATGCATGATACCAACTTCATTATGCCGAATGGTTTGGTTGAAGACATTAGGATGAGATATCAGGATTGTAAGTGGAGCTATGAATTGCAAAGAAAAGTCTGCATTACAATCTCAGCACATGGCTCACATCAGTTGGAAACCGGCGCAAGAGGACTTCATTACTCCCAATGTGGATGGCGTTGCAAAGAGCAGTGGCAGAGCTGGTTGTGAGGAACGTGGATTGGAGGATTTTCCAAGAATATTGGAGTATGTAGCGCCTTTATTGCAGAATTGTTGGAAGAGGTTTTTTCAGGATTGAGGTTCAAACAGATAACAAAACAAGAAGCTCCCAAAGAAGGCAATGGTTTGTATAAGCAGATTCAACATTGTTTTTTGGAGGGGAGGGAGGTTCTCGTCTCCTATGTGCATTGCGAAGCCAACCAATGTGCTGATGCTCTGGCCAACAAAAGTTTACTTCACGGTTTAGGTCTCCATGTTTATGAAGATTGTCACGTCCATCGAGCTTATTAGTATAATGTCTAGTGATATTGTGGGGGTTCCTATTCCCCATTTTGTTTTCGATTAGTTTCTTGTTTTCTTGGGCCTTGGCCCTCCTGCTGCAAAAAAAAAAGGCTTGTCATGACTTGCCTGACTTCATTCCTAGAGTCTTGAATTCAGTCTGAACTCCTTAAGCTATTCTGCATTGCATACTAAATGTGTTTGAACATGGAAAATATTACCTCCAAGATAAATAGATCAATGCTTTGAAAATATATTGGCCTTAATTAAAATCTTGAAACTTCAATGCATCTGATTTCAACATATTGTTCATCTGTCAACATAAGTTCAATAGCTGGTTCTGCTACAACTGATTCAAGATGTCAGTTTTAATATAAATCAGGAAATTTTCTGTTCACAGCTGCTGCAAAATACAAAGCAATTAGTAAATAAATGACCATCAATTCTCTTCAAGAGACAATGTATGATTATTATAAGTTCTGCTTAATTTGACTTTCTTTAACGTAGGTTCAGAACATAACCGGAGGCTTATTGTGATAGTGATAGGTAAGAACAATGAACAACATCACTTTTTATGATACCAGCGTTTCTCATCCCACATTATAGTGGCGTGAATTTTTCTTCAAAAATAATGACTGATAATACTTTATTTTGTCTTTGATAAATTCAAGTGCTGCAGGATTTGGAATAACAATGTTCTTTATAATTATTATAATTAGAATTCACCTTAAAAGGGGTACAGGTAGACAACAAAATATTTTCAGGAGAAGAAAGCTTGTTGAGTACAATGTGGATGGCTTTTATGCCAAGAAGATATAGTTATACACAAGTAAAAAGATCACCAACTCATTTCGAGAGAAATTAGGCCAAGGAGGTTATGGTATTGTGTACAAAGCAAGTGTAAGCAATGGTCGTCAAGTCGTAGTGAAACTTATAAACGAGTCAAAGGGAAATTGGGAAGCATTCATAAACGAAATTGCTAGCATTAGAACATCACACTTGTGTCACTCTTAGGTTATTCTTATGAGGGGAACAAAAGAGCACTAATATGAGTTCATGCCAAAGGTTCATTGGGTAGCTTCATCTATAAAGGTGAATTTCCTAATGCTATTTGTGATTTTGATTGGAACACTCTGTTCCAAATTGCTAGAGGACTAGAATACTTGCATCAGGGACTAGAGTACTTGCATCAAGGATGCAACTCAAGAATTTTGAATCTTGATATCAAATCCCAATACATTATTTTGGATGCAGATTTTGGCCCAAAAACATCTAATTTGGGTTTGGCCAAAATATGTCAAAGGAAGGATAGTATCGTGTCAATACAAGGGGCATGAGGAAACTATAGGATATATGGCACCCGAAATATTTAGTAAAGCATTTGGTGGAGTTTCTTGGAAGTCCGATGTGTACAGTTATGGAATGCTGATTCTTGAGATGATAGGAGGAAGAAAGAACTATGACACTGGAGGTTCATGTACTTCTGAAATGTATTTTCTAGATAGAATTTATAAAGATCTTAAGCAAGGTAATACTAGTAACACACTTTTAAATAGTTTGACAATCTCAAAGGAAGAAAATGATATGGTTAGAAAGATTACTTTGGTGAGCCTATGGTGCATTCAAACAAATCCATCAGATAGTGATAGAAATGCTACATGGACCACTTTCATCAGTGCAATATCCTCCAAAGTCGGTCTTGTTTTCTCCTGAAATGCCATTTGTCCTGAGACAAATTCAATTACAGTATCAAAATAATTGTTATATACTTCTATCTATGAATCAAATTATTAGCTCCAGAACTTCTGAAATTGATTAATTAACGTGTAAAACTGTTTGTGGCATACAGTTATGTATGAATTAGTTGAAATTCATAATCAATTTCAGATTGTTGTAGTGATTGCTACTGGCATATTTTTTGTATTCATATAACAATCTTATTATTTCTGTTGTGAATTCAAGTCATGAACCATACTTGTCTATAAACTAATAATGTATGACAAATAAATATATTAAAAAATTAAATGTTCACCAAAATGTAAGGTGTTAAAAAAATGTATGACAAGTAATCGCTAAATAACAAAAGATATGATACCTTTCTTACAGCATGATGATAGTTATGCTGGATGTATACCATTAAAATCAAATAAATTTAAAAACTTTACAACGCAATGGAATTCATAGAATCACATTCCATGTTTTTAAGAGATGTCCACAGGAACATGAGCAAACCATTAATTTCTCCTAACCTAACAAGTAATAACGACTAATTTCTTTATGGTTTGCTTTTATTTTGAAGCAAAATAGAGGCAATTTCTTCTAATCATAATCTTGAAAATGAATAAATCCCGGGAATGAATTCATCACCACCAAGAAACAGGGCCCAAACCATCTTGATCTAATGATCCCTGTAAAATAGACATTAAAATCAGTCCACTGTCAATCTCCAATGCTTGTTTATTAGGATTTAATCTATCTTCTATACATCGCATATCAATATGGTAAGCAGTTCAAACTCGGTTTCTTTAATTGGTTTGTTGATGAAGCAACCGATGAGTTTCGGTTCATAATTAAGAGATATGCATGAACCAGAGAAATGAAGAAAGTAGAGGCCAAAATGGGGAACAAGAAATACTTACACTAACTAACATTGGAGCAAATGGCTTTGATTCTTTTGGTTGCTCAACTGGAATTGGAGGGTAACTCACACTTTGAACTTGGAATTTGATCTGCCATGTTGGTAACCAAAATTTTGTTTCATGCTCGTTGGCAAGGCATACAATTGAGATGAAAGGAAAATGAGTCTAACCTCGTCAGTATAATTAATACTAAATGATGAATCAATATCTTCACCATAATCCCAAAACCATGTGCCTTTGTTTTTGTTGCTGTAAATATCACCAAAATAAACACATGATGTTTAGCTACATGATGAGAGGGGGTTTTGCACGGAAAAAATAAAAGATCTTATCTGGATATGCTTTAGTATTATGTTCATATTTCATCCCAAAAGTAAAATTGGATAAAAGCAGCATTACCTATTTTCAGGTTCATAGCGGTTTGGATTGGGCATGTGATGAGTAGGAATGTAAATGTCGTCAAAGAATCCAATGGATACTGTCAATCAAAAATTCATAATTACTAAACATATAATATCTTAAAATGCATCTAAAACTTGATAATCATTGATATTTTCAGAGGATGCAGATATTGGATAGCACTGTAACATAATGCAAATAGTAGGTTATTGTCAGTGTCAAAACAACAAGAGAATTTACAAAAACCAGATTGATGACAGTTCAACTAGCAGGGTCACACACTCACGCTATTATTGTCTAGAAACTCTGGATAGGATTTAACATCGACTCACGCTATTAAGAATGAATGAATCGTCCTATTCAAATAAAAAGTGAGGTAAAAAAACAATAATACGGGCAGAGTACAAACCACAAGTTTTATTTTTCTCATCAGAAACTAAGTCTAAATCAAAAATGGATATCTAACAAGTAGTATGAAAATAGAGGAACAAGCTGAAAATTGAATACATACAGCGCAAGCCATCAGCATCAGATGAAACAAGTTTTCCAGTAATAATCTCCCCCGGAAATGGACGAAACATAATCAAATTAAATACCACCTGCCAGATATTCCAGAATACGGTTATTGCATAGTAAAAAAAAAAACAATGACACAACTTTCTGCATCAATCAACAAAAGACTGCCTGCCAAGTGCATTATCAGAAAATTGTAATGAGGAAAGAAAAGAAAGCGCATAATTTCTGCAAGTCTGAAATTTCCAGCAAATGACTTATTACAACATAATAGCAATGCATCAAAGTTGTGCCAATAAATAGAAAAGTTCGACACAACCCATAAACACGTACCAGGTAGGTCGGAGCACCGTCACCAGGGAAGATAGAGCCGCCCTCCATGGATACGATATCATAAACAGATACACAAAGGCCGAGGTTTGCAATTACCTAACATGATTAAAGAAACACAAAACGCAGCCCGCTGAAATAAGTTAAATAAATACTATACAATGGGTTGTAAGAAAATGAAAATGAAAATGTTAGCAACAAAAAACCTTATCCAAGAAAAGCCTCTCAAGCTCCGTGTGTATGGCTTCTCCAATGGGAAGAGCGAGAAGAGAAGGAGGCAAGGTCAATTTATGCTCAATCTTACTGAGATAAAACATTGACGCTATACCCTGTTAGGAAGTGCTATCCGGAAGAAACAGCTCTGGGGATAAAAAACGACATGAAATACAAGGAACGTAGATGAATACGGTATATACCCTTAAACTACAAAGCTTCAAAAAAATTACTAAACCCTTAGAATTTAGCTGGAATTTTGCGTTAGTGTTGGATTCATTAAGAAAAATAAGGAATTTCAAATTTGACCAACGAAACTGCAGCATTGCTAATAAGCAATAAGTGAAAAGGGAACAAGAGAAAGGAAGCACCTTTATGGAATTGGCGGTGACTCGAAAGGAAGGATCGTGGCCGGCAAAGATGGCGGCGTTGGGTGAATACTTGTTCCGGTAGGTGATGTAGACGACAACTTACGAATGCAGAGCAGAGCTTTGGGAATTAGGGTTGTGTTGTGCGGCTGTGAAATTTGGGCGAAATTGGAATATAGTTACCGGTTTTTTTGGTTTTGATAAATGGGCCACCAGTTTTTAAAATGTAGTTTTGGGTTGGATTTTAAAATATAAATCAATTTGGATACTAATTCAGTTTGTGGTTATTGGTTTTTTTGCACAGCCCTGTTTATGATTATTTATGATATAAGAATACCTTGAAAGTCTCCAGAGTTTGTGTTGAGGTGGATTCCACCCTTTTATAAAATTTCCATGATGAAGTTATTTGTTTTGAATCAAGAGACTTAAAAAAAGAGTAAACCGCAATAATGAATATGTCTTGAAACATACTCAAGGAACAGAATTATGAGATGGTATCACTTTCTTTCTTCAGTTCTTTGTTTTGTGCTCTTTGAAACTTTCTTCCTATTCATTCTACCATATTGCTTTGAACAAGACGTTATGCTGATTCGGAGTGTTTCTCCTTAGAATTTTCCAGCTCAAGTTTCGTCCATAATTTAGCTAGGTTTTTCACATTCGCAGAAGCCACTCATTCTCCATTTCCATGGTGCGTTTCCGCTTTCACTCCTTCACTTATTCGAATTCACTCCTTCTTAAATTATTGTACCAATGAAATTTTGTGCATGAATAGGTAGTTACTTTTTGCTACGAATGTATAGATATTCGGTTCTGAATTACCAGTTTATGCTTACAAAGTTTGCAATATACTGCCTAATATGAAAGTTGAAAGTTAACAATCAAATATACATGTTATAGTTGAAACATTAACAATAAAAGTATATTGTGAGCAATTACATGGACATGTTTAGCAATCGTCTAAGAGCGCTCAAACAGTTTGATCTCTCTCAGTCGAATTTCCAAACACCAATTATTTAATAACCATAACAAAAATACAAAAATTTCTAATGATATGTAAACTAGACCGATTCTATTAGCCTAGTACTTTTATTAATTCTGTAACATCTTTGAAGTTATTGCAACTTGCAAAAGTTTTTTTTTTCCACTTCATTTTTTCCTTTTAAGAACTCCAACAACATGTTGTGCTGTGCAATATGCAATAGCCTGAACAGTGACCATTGGATTCACACCCAAAGCTGTGGGAAACACACTTGTATCTGCAAGATAAAGACCCTCAACTTCCCATGTTTCTCCCATTTGGTTCACAACCGATTCCTTAGGATTAACGCCCATACGACAGCTCCCCATCTGATGTGCCGAGCATATGGGCGTCGAAAGGTCGGTTAATGGCCTTGAACTTTCTTCCTTCACAAATTTCTCGAATTCATTATAGCTCACTTTCTTAACATTTAAGCTTCTTCCCTTATTATTGTGTGTCCCGATTTCTTCCGCTCCAGCTGCTGCCAGAATTCTCAGCACCTTCTCAATTCCTTTGCTTAAGTTGTCTTTGTCGATGTCTTTTATCTGATAACTTATGCAGTTTTGCGAATCAACAGTTCCTGATCCTTGATCCCTTGCCAGGGCGAATACATGAGCTGTTCTTGAAAACTTGCGCATTCGATCTTTTATATCCAATCCAGAATTCCACGGCATCAGAAGTGAGAATAGGCCTGGATGCAACGAAGGCGTTTGGATCACTGCCCCATATCCGGTTCTCTCAAAGTCTGCAACAACTGTAGACATTGCTGTCATAATCCCTCCTTCATAGCTTTTCTTATGTTCCTCTGGCCATAACTCGGGCGAAGAAGGTGAATCAGGGAAATAGCCCCAAGCCATTGTCACGGGATGAAGACGCAAGTGTCTCCCAATGTTTTCGTTTTTCAAACCACTTCTCTTGAGTAATGGTGGAGTACGGAGTGCTCCACAGGCTACAATCGTGACCTTAGATTCAACCACACACATTTCCTTTCTACCATTGTAGTCAATTTCAAACGCAACTCCTTTAGCCTTTTTTCTGTCTCTTCCTTTCTTTTCTCCGTGCAAGATTTGTATAGCCTCACAACTAGGCAGAATCGCTCCATTACCCGATTTTACCACGTCCACAAGCCATGTTTCTAATGTACCCTTCTTCTTTCCATCCTTGCATCCCAAGCAACACCAACCACAGTAGTGATCAGGTGGAGCATTCCTCGGAATAGTACTAACGGGATACCCCATTTCATGACACCCTTTTCTCAATACCGCGTTATTAAATCCTTCCTCTTCAATATCAGATTGGACCTCCATCTTCTCGCACACAACATCTAGTGCTTCTTTGTATAATCTACTTTCAAACAATTCTAGCTCGTGGCGATAGCACCACTCCATGCATACATGGGGAGGGGTTTTGATGCTGGCTGACCAGTTGATTGCAGACCCTCCGCCAACTGTCGAACCTGCTAGTATTAGTACAGACATATCGTCTGTCGCGACCAAACCATTCGAGAGATACATTTGTTCCATCGCTTGTCCTTCAAGAAGCGAAAGATTGTTCCTAGCAAAATAGTTTCCTTTCTCCAATACCAATACTTTGTAACCACTTTTTGCTAGTACTCCCGCTATCACACCACCTCCTGAGCCAGAACCAACAACTACTGCATCACATTGAATAACTAGAGAAGGAGATGAGACAGTAGAAGCTTTAATCTCTGGAGGAGTGACGGATACAGGAAATCCAATTCGTCTTAGAGAATCTGCAATAATGTCATGCGGGGAGTTCATATGGACGAGTCCTTTATAGAGTGGTCCAAAAACCTCTTCATCTTTATCATTATCCCCATTCTCTTCTTTTTTCGATGTTTTATGTAAAATGTTTTTCTTCTTCTTCTGCACTTTGAACTCTGGATCAGGTCCACTATATCCAATTGCCTTCCATGATAGGTTGTTTTCTTCTTCATCTATCTGAAAATGAAAAATTTCTTGCATAATGAGTACGCGGTCCGAAGCAATCATAAATACATACTTTGAAGTTTGAAGGCACCAAACCATAAAGTGCAAATGCCAATCAGAAAGCCTCCATTAATACCAAATTAAACCAACAGTATTATTTTTTCAAAATTGTTCAAACATGCACTACATAGTAATAATTCAGTAGTACAGAACAGAACAGTAGCAAAACTTATTGATGATCAAAAAAAGGAAAAGACAGTGAAAGAAGCTGAAAGCATTCAATGCATTTAACAAAGAAGTAGTAGTATAATTTACCTGAGTAAAAAAGACGAAGAGAGTGAGAAGCTTTATGGTTCTGAAAAGCATCCTAAGTAGACCAAAGTAACTTTGAGACCAACCCTGCAATATTTTTTCGCGTTTCTCAGGCGGCAAGTGAGGGTAGCTATGGAAAAATGGAAACTTTGTAGACAGACATGCAGCACCACACAATATCAATGTGCCAAACCATGTGGACAGTAACCATAATGATAACATAAATAACCATGTACTTGGATGCTCCAATTTCTCACTCAGCAAAACTCCTAGCTACAAATTATAAAACCAAATAATTAACTACACCGAAAATACGACACGGTCACTAACATGTTTACATCAGTAACAATTTGAAATAAAGGAATAAATTAAACTTAATGATGTGTCATACATACACAAACACATTTTTTCAGAGGTCCCAATGCGACATAGTTGACTTCACATGGTAAATAATATATTATATAGTATATGCTTTAATTAGAGTAGTTGCTACTTCTCCCTTTAGCATTAAATTTTGTATGGTGGAATGTGAATAACAGAGACTGGACATGCATGAAATTTTTTGGCTGACCCAGTGGTTTAATGTTTTCATACAGTTCTTAAAAAATAAAATTTTACACAAATTAAAATGTCATTTAATTAATGTGTATATGTATCAAAATGTTTTTTTTTTTTTATATTTATCATTAAATGTTTATAAATTTTTATTTTCAGTATAAAGAAATAAAAAACTCATGAAAAGTGTAATTAGGAAAAATATATATGATTAATACCATATATTTATAAATGTGTTGATTTGAAACAAAATAAAAATACCAAAACCACCAAAATTTTGAGATGGAGTGAATAATAAATTTTCTACAGTGTACTGTCAATGTGGTGATCAATCAGTTTTCAGCAATCAAGTGAATATGCAGAAAGAAAGGGGAATAACAATAACCTGAAAGAGATCCATTACTTCTCAATTAAGAATATATAGAACAGAATTGGTTAATCTATGATTTCATCACAAAAACTATTCTCATATTTCAAATTAATACAAATAGCTAACCTTAATATTTATCAAGAAATGTTTTGAAGATATTTACTAACCAAAAATATTGCAAACATCTAGCTACTTTTTGTTTTCTCATTCAAAGTAAAATTTGAAGAATTATGATTGCATGCAAGGAGAATTAAAGAAAAAAAATTAAACTGACATTAAACTTTAATTAAGGGAGTATTTGCATTTGCATGATCTTTTCATAAATAAATGATGAAGATAAGAAAAACGAAAAGAGAGGAGAATACGATCAGAACGGGGTTGGAATCACTTGATACCAGAACTGACAGAACTGACAGAACTGACATCCGAACCAGATTAGTCGGCCGGATACTACTGGCATGAAAACCAAAAAAAGAAAAAGAGAGAAAAACAAAAAGTTGCAATGATCCTACATGTTCAGGTGTGCCAGCCATGGAAGCTGAAGTCTGGTAGAATTTGTTGACAGATTCATCAGAGGAACCAACAATGTTTCTGTCATTGATTGAAGGCAAGAGAGTATCACAAAGAGCAACAAGAGACTTCATTTGTCTTGAAGATAAAGAATTTCTAAGGCTTTTCTTTTGTGGTTGTTGGTTTTCACTGCTCTCTATGTCAAATCCACCAAGCTCAACAACAGTGTGAACTTTTGCTTCATTTCTGCTAATACTCTCTCTATTGTTGTTCATCTCCATACTTGAATTGTTTTTGTTTCTCATTTCTATTACCAAAGCTATTTATATATGTATAAATGGTTCGTTTGGTGCATTAAAAGCATATAAAATAAAATAGAAACGAA